GTGTAGTGTATAGTGTAGTGTATAGTGTAGTGTATAATGTAGTGTATAGTAGTCAGTTTAACACGTAGGCTTTCGCGACCAATATTATTCATAATAAAGGTTTTTGGGTTAGATCGCGTTTATTTACAAATGTGTCGTAACCCTCCACCACCCGACACGGCCAATCAGCAAAAAAAGTGTCACGTTGACAAAAGACAAATAATTCACTACTTCAGCCCACCGGTGTGTTGAAGAGTTAATCCACATTTACAGTTTGAGTACGATGTTTCGCTGGTAAATACTTCCAGCATCATCGGGCAATTCGCCAGAATGGTAAAGCCCTCGCTTGCTCCCGGTTTTATATAGAGCAGCAGGGTGACGTCATCACTTAACTCATCAGGTGCAGTGATTAGAGGCGGAGGGGGGGGTAATGTAATTATATAATCGATTAGTAATCAGTCATTGGTTATGATTAGTAATGAGTTGTAGATTAGTAATTCTTTAAATCAAAATGTAATGTGTATTATTTAATAATACGCTTCCAGGCCGCACTAAGCCGGTAGCTGTCAGAGCGATTAAAGTTATTCTTGTTCCTCTCAATTTCAATGGATTCTCTAATTAGTCTTTGCCAGTAATAATTAGTTTTACACACCACTGCAACATTGTCAAAATCAATTGAGTGTCCTTGTTGACAAGCATGTTCTGCCACTGCCGATAGTTGTGTTTGAGATAATTTAATATTTCTCTGATGTTCTTTTAGTCTTACGCTGATGTTACGTCCCGTCTGCCCAATGTAGCAGCTGCCACATGAACAATTAATCCGATATACACCTTCTGTTGATAGTTTAGGTAATGCGTCTTTAGTGCAAGATACTAGTTTTTGAATTTTGTGTACTGTACCAAATCTTACTGTAATGTTTTGCTTTTGCAAAACGCGGGCTAATTTGTCAGTTACTCCTGAGATATATGGAATTTTTATTGTTTTAACAATCTGGTCGCTTTCAGTAGTATTGCTTTGCGATCGTGATTTGGCATTCAGTGCTCTGTTAATTTGAGCATTATTGTAGCCATTCTGTCGTAGTGCGTCTTTAACGTGTTTAATCTCTCTCACTAGACTCTCACCATCTGACACTGTTTTCGCCCGATGTACGAGCGTCTTGATAAGAGAGGATTTTTGAGCTGGATGATGATGTGATTCTGCATTCAGATAGGCATCAGTGTGCGTTTGCTTTCTGTAAACGCTGTGTGTTATTTTACCGTTTAGGCCATGTCCAAGCAAAATATCTAGGAATGGGAGTGTGTTATTCACCTCCATTTCCATGGTGAACTGGATGGCCGGGTTTTGTGCATTGAGATGATTTAGAAAATCATTAAGTGTATCTTTACCATGTGGCCAGACAACCAAAGTGTCATCCACATACCTAAACCAAAAGGATGGTTTTAATGTGCTCGAGGCAAGTGCTCTTATTTCAAAGTTTTCCATGTACAAATTTGCTATAGCAGGGGATAAAGGAGAACCCATTGCTGCTCCTTCCTTTTGTTTAAAGAAATCCCCTCTCCATAAGAAGTAAGTGTTATTTAAACAATGGCCAGCAAGTTTCGGAATATCTTTTTGTAAACCGGTATTCTTTACTAGTGTATCAAGTAATTTAAGCGATTCGTCCACTGGAACCTTAGTGAATAGAGAAATCACATCAAAACTTACCAGAATATCATCAGGAGTAAGTTTAATATCTTTAATCACATTCACAAGATGTTCTGAATTTTTTATGAATGAAGATGTCTTACCGATGTAGGGCTGTATTTGTTTGGTTATATATTTTGCTAATTGATATGTGGCAGAGCCAATTGTACTGACTATGGGTCGTAATGGGATGCCGATTTTATGAATCTTTGGTAGCCCATAGAGTCTAGGTGGTTTTGAGGCCCTTGGCTTAATTAGGTATTGCTCATTTTTAGGGATTAATGAATTTGCAATTATTGCAGTGGTCTTACGTTCTAAAGTATTAGTTGGATCTCGTTTAATTTTAATGTAGGTACTTTCCTCTAGTAAATTTCTAATTTTATTATCATAATCGGCTCGTGACATCACTACAGTAGTGCGGCCTTTATCAGCTGCTAGGATTTAGATATCCTTATTTACACGCAGCTCTCTTAAGGCTTTTGCCTCGTTAGAGCTAATATTTACTTTTGGAACTTTGCTATTCTCAATTATTTTAGCAACCTCATGTCTAGTCATCTCTGCCTCATTATGTGGAAGGAGTCTAACTGCTGATTCTACCTCAGCAATTATCTCATCCACTGGAATTGTGCGTGGGGTAACGGCAAAGTTAAGGCCTTTAGAAAGGATAGAGACCATGTCACCGGTTAATACAGTGTTGGTCAAGTTCAGTACAGTTTTGTATGCATTATTGGAATATAATCGATAACATAACACAACAATCGGCTGATAATGTGTTTAAACTAACAAAAACTAACCAAATTAATAAATTTTCTAGACTACATAATAAACAAATCCCTACTGAAAACCAAAAATGTAAAAACAAAACTGTACTGAACTTGACCAACACTGTATTAACCGGTGACATGGTCTCTATCCTTTCTAAAGGCCTTAACTTTGCCGTTACCCCACGCACAATTCCAGTGGATGAGATAATTGCTGAGGTAGAATCAGCAGTTAGACTCCTTCCACATAATGAGGCAGAGATGACTAGACATGAGGTTGCTAAAATAATTGAGAATAGCAAAGTTCCAAAAGTAAATATTAGCTCTAACGAGGCAAAAGCCTTAAGAGAGCTGCGTGTAAATAAGGATATCCAAATCCTAGCAGCTGATAAAGGCCGCACTACTGTAGTGATGTCACGAGCCGATTATGATAATAAAATTAGAAATTTACTAGAGGAAAGTACCTACATTAAAATTAAACGAGATCCAACTAATACTTTAGAACGTAAGACCACTGCAATAATTGCAAATTCATTAATCCCTAAAAATGAGCAATACCTAATTAAGCCAAGGGCCTCAAAACCACCTAGACTCTATGGGCTACCAAAGATTCATAAAATCGGCATCCCATTACGACCCATAGTCAGTACAATTGGCTCTGCCACATATCAATTAGCAAAATATATAACCAAACAAATACAGCCCTACATCGGTAAGACATCTTCATTCATAAAAAATTCAGAACATCTTGTGAATGTGATTAAAGATATTAAACTTACTCCTGATGATATTCTGGTAAGTTTTGATGTGATTTCTCTATTCACTAAGGTTCCAGTGGACGAATCGCTTAAATTACTTGATACACTAGTAAAGAATACCGGTTTACAAAAAGATATTCCGAAACTTGCTGGCCATTGTTTAAATAACACTTACTTCTTATGGAGAGGGGATTTCTTTAAACAAAAGGAAGGAGCAGCAATGGGTTCTCCTTTATCCCCTGCTATAGCAAATTTGTACATGGAAAACTTTGAAATAAGAGCACTTGCCTCGAGCACATTAAAACCATCCTTTTGGTTTAGGTATGTGGATGACACTTTGGTTGTCTGGCCACATGGTAAAGATACACTTAATGATTTTCTAAATCTCAATGCACAAAACCTGGCCATCCAGTTCACCATGGAAATGGAGGTGAATAACACACTCCCATTCCTAGATATTTTGCTTGGACATGGCCTAAACGGTAAAATAACACACAGCGTTTACAGAAAGCAAACGCACACTGATGCCTATCTGAATGCAGAATCACATCATCATCCAGCTCAAAAATCCTCTCTTATCAAGACGCTCGTACATCGGGCGAAAACAGTGTCAGATGGTGAGAGTCTAGTGAGAGAGATTAAACACGTTAAAGACGCACTACGACAGAATGGCTACAATAATGCTCAAATTAACAGAGCACTGAATGCCAAATCACGATCGCAAAGCAATACTACTGAAAGCGACCAGATTGTTAAAACAATAAAAATTCCATATATCTCAGGAGTAACTGACAAATTAGCCCGCGTTTTGCAAAAGCAAAACATTACAGTAAGATTTGGTACAGTACACAAAATTCAAAAACTAGTATCTTGCACTAAAGACGCATTACCTAAACTATCAACAGAAGGTGTATATCGGATTAATTGTTCATGTGGCAGCTGCTACATTGGGCAGACGGGACGTAACATCAGCGTAAGACTAAAAGAACATCAGAGAAATATTAAATTATCTCAAACACAACTATCGGCAGTGGCAGAACATGCTTGTCAACAAGGACACTCAATTGATTTTGACAATGTTGCAGTGGTGTGTAAAACTAATTATTACTGGCAAAGACTAATTAGAGAATCCATTGAAATTGAGAGGAACAAGAATAACTTTAATCGCTCTGACAGCTACCGGCTTAGTGCGGCCTGGAAGCGTATTATTAAATAATACACATTACATTTTGATTTAAAGAATTACTAATCTACAACTCATTACTAATCATAACCAATGACTGATTACTAATCGATTATATAATTACATTACCCCCCCCTCCGCCTCTAATCACTGCACCTGATGAGTTAAGTGATGACGTCACCCTGCTGCCCTATATAAAACCGGGAGCAAGCGAGGGCTTTACCATTCTGGCGAATTGCCCGATGATGCTGGAAGTATTTACCAGCGAAACGTCGTACTCAAACTGTAAATGTTGTGGATTAACTCTTCAACACACCGGTGGGCTGAAGTAGTGAATTATTTGTCTTTTGTCAACGTGACACTTTTTTTGCTGATTGGCCGTGTCGGGTGGTGGAGGGTTACGACACATTTGTAAATAAACGCGATCTAACCCAAAAACCTTTATTATGAAGTGTATAGTAGTGTATAGTGTAGTGTATATTGTATAGTAGTATAGTGTATAGTGTAGTGTATAGTAGTGTAGTGTATAGTGTAGCGTATAGTAGTAGTGTACGATGCATCTGAAACTGCGTGCGACGCGGCCAGACCGGTCCTCGTCCCGTTCGATTCAATTTTCCCTTTCCCCCCCCTGGCAGGGCCACCGCCCATCCCGTCCCTCGACGTCCACCCCAAGCGCATCGTCGAGGGTGGCAACGTCACCCTCAGCTGTCGCGTGCCACACGGCAGCGGCGGAAGCGGCGACCTCGTGACCGTGAGCTGGTTCCGAGACGGCTGCCCCTTGGGGGAGGACGCGGGGAGCGACCGTTCGCTGGCGCTGATCTCCGTCGACAGTGGGGCCGTGGGCCACTACAGCTGCGTCCTGAGCAACGCGTGCGGACGCAGCAGCACCCCCAGCGCGGAAGCCAGAGTCGACGTTCACTGTGAGTGGGGGGGTGTGCCCCCCTCCCCGCCTGCCTGCCTGCTCGTACGCTGCACTTTGCACTGCACTACACTAAAACACTACACTAGTATATACTACACTATACACTACACTAAACACTACACTACTATATACTACACTATACATTACATTACACTATACACTACACGGTACACTACACTATATTCTACACTATACACTACTATACACTACACTAAACACTGCACTAGTATATACTACACTATACACTACACTAAACACTACACTACTATATACTACACTATACACTACATTACACTATACACTACACTATACACTACACTAAACACCACACTAGTATATACTACACTATACATTACATTACACTATACACTACACTATACATTACATTACACTATACACTACACTATACACTACACTATACACTACACTATACATTACATTACACTATACACTACACTATACACTACACTATACATTACATTACACTATACACTACACTATACACTACACTATACACTACACTACACTAGTATACACTACACTATACATTACACTACACTATATACTACACTAAACACTACACTAGTATATACTACACTATACATTACATTACACTATACACTACACGGTACTCTACACTAGTATATACTACACTATACATTACATTACACTATACACTACACTATACACTACACTAAACACTATTATATACTACACTGTACATTACATTACACTATACACTACACTAAACACTACACTACTATACACTACACTACTATACACTACACTATACACTACACTATACATTACATTACACTATACACTACACTATACACTACACTATACACTACACTAAACACCACACTAGTATATACTACACTATACATTACATTACACTATACACTACACTAAACACTGCACTACTATATACTACGCTATACATTACATTACACTATACACTACACGGTACACTACACTATATTCTACACTATACACTACTATACACTACACTAAACACTACACTACTATATACTACACTATGCACTACACTAAACACTACACTAGTATATACTACACTATACATTACATTACACTATACACTACACTAAACACTACACTAGTATATACTACACTACTATATACTACACTATACACTACTATACACTACACTGCTATATACTACACTATACACTACTATACACTACACTACTATATACTACACTATACATTACATTACACTATACACTACACTAAACACTACACTAGTATATACTACACTACTATATACTACACTATACACTACTATACACTACACTAGTATATACTACACTATGTTCTAAACTATACACTACTATACACTACACTAAACACTGCACTACTATATACTACACTATACATTACATTACACTATACACTACACTAAACACTACACTAGTATATACTACACTATATTCTACACTATACACTACACTAAACACTGCACTACCATATACTACACTATACACTACACTATACACTACACTACTATATACTACACTACATTACACTATACACTACACTATACACTCCACTATATTCAACAACTATACGCTACACCACTATACACTACACGACTATACACTACACTATACCCCACTAAACACTACAATACAGTATACACTACACTACTACACTATACACTACTAAACCCTACACTACTATATACTACACTATGCATTACACTATACACTACACGATACACTACACTATATTCTACACTATACGCTACACCAATATCCACTACACGACTACACAATACACTACTATACACTACACTATACCCTACTAAACACTACACTACAGTATACACTACTATACACTGCACTATACACTACACTAAAGACTACACTATACACTGCTTTACACTACACTATACACTACTATACACTACAATATACACTACACTAAACAGTGCTATACACTGCACTATACACTACACTCTAAACTACTATACACTACACTATACCCTACTATCCACTACACTACTAAACACTACACTACAGAATACACTACTATACACTGCACTATACGATACACTATACACTACTCTATACACTACTAAACACCACACTACAGAATACACTTCTAATACACTGCACTATACAATACACTATACACTACTCTATACACTATACACTACTAAACACTACACTATAGAATACACTTCTAACACACTGCACTATACAATACACTATACACTACTCTATACGCTACACTATACACTACGCTATGGCTAACCATCCCTGCTGTTAGTCACCAAGAAATTGCATATTGACCCAATTCCCTGCCATATTTAATCAATTATCTTTACGCTAAGTTTAGTTTCAGGTTGAATTCATTTACTTTTTAAAAGGGTTGCCCACAAAGGTGAAAGCCAAAGAGCCGCGTGCACTTTACATAAAACTGTCTCACGTAAAACTATAATATCTTTACTTTTGATCTAAAGCTTTTTCGTGACTGCAGTAATTCATATTCTTAGTTCTTTCGGTAAAGTCACCACGTTGAAGGGAAACAACAAAATAATAAAATATATATAAAACAATAAAAAATTCTCACGACATTTCGACCATAACACAAACGGTCATCTTCAGGTGTGTTGGTTTGTGTTGTGGTCGAAACGTCGTGAGAATTTTTTATTGTTTTATATATATTTTATTATTTTGTTGTTTCCCTTCAACGTGGTGACTTTACCGAAAGAACTAAGAATATATCTTTACTTATAAAAGCCAAAAAAATTTTTGTCCGTCTCTGTCTGTGCACGCCGATCCTTTGAACGTTTTTAAGTCTCAGACTGTTGGGTTTACGCTTCAACAAGGCGCACAGATACTGGACGAACGCTTGCTTATTTGTGTGTGTTTTTTTTTCGCCCTTGGTCCAATCTAAACTAAGAAAATCCCACTCGATTCTAGAATATCTCAATCGGCAACTACGTAGGCAGATGATGGGCAGTGATAACTTTTAAAACCGCCCCAGCCAAAGCGCGCGTCTGCGCATGCGCCGGACGCCGACTCGCGGTTGCCCCTAGCAACGCAGAAACGGTTTTTTTTTGTTGTTGCTCAGCGACCGCGACGATGCAGGCGGTCTCGCGCTAAACACGCGACGCGGTGGCCATTTTTGTTCACGTGGGGAAAAAAATGAAGTTCAAAAACAATAAACACAAGCCCGAGAATAGATGTTGCCCCCTCTCTCTCTCTCTCTTTTTTTTTTAGACTGATGGCCTTAATATCCTTAGTTTTTTCGGTAAAGTCACGTTGAAGGGAAATGACAAAATAATAAAAAATATATATAAAACAATAAAAAAAATTCTGAACGACGTTTCGACCATAACTCAAACGGTTGTTTCCCTTCAACGTGGTGACTTTACCGAAAAAACTAAGAATGAATTACTGCAGTCACGAAAGCTTTAAATCAAAATTTGATGGCCTTAATCTTAGTTGTCTTGTGGTTGTTGTTGTTGTTTGACTTGCATCCCACTAGGATTTTTTGCACACAGCGTTGGTGTTGTACACGGTGCTATCTCACGAATATTTTGATGTTTGTTTTATTTCCCCTGGATTTTCTGTTTGCACAGTCACACAAAGTCACTTTAAGATGTTTTTCTTGTTCGTGTTTTTTTGTTTGTTGCGGTTGCACTCGATTCAAGAGCCGAATGGCTCACAGGGCTATACCAAAATAAATGGAACGATGAACTATGAACTATATAACTTGGTTCTTTCGGTGAAGTCACCACGTAGAAGGGAAACGATAAAATAATAAAAATATAAAACAATACAATTCTCAAGACGTTTCGACTGCAACACGAGCAAATCATCATCATCATCAGGTGTGAAAACCACAGCAAGAAAATTTGAAAAAAGTGGCGGTTTTATTTAAATATTTGTATAATTTTATTGTTTCCCTTCTACGTGACTTTACCAAAAGAACCAAGAATATGAATCCCTGCAGTCATGAAAGCTTTAAATCAAAAACAGCTACTCGTTGCTTCTCTCAGTAAGGTCACGCAGTTAGCAATACAATAAAACATATCACGACGTTTCAATCGCAACACAAGCTGACTCTATAGCAGTAGATACTACTATAGAGTCAGTAGATACTACTATAGAGTCAGTAGATACTACTATATAGTTAGTAGATACTGCTGTAGTCTGTAGATACTACTGTAGAGTTAGTAGATACTACTATAGAGTCAGTAGATTCTACTATAGAGTCACTAGATACTACTATAGAGTCAGTAGATACTACTATAGAGTTAGTAGATACTACTATAGAGTCAGTAAATACTACTATAGTCAGTAGATACTACTATAGATTCAGTAAATTCTACTGTAGAGCCTGTAGATACCACTGTAGAGTTAGTAGCTACTACTGTAGAGTATGTAGATACCACTGTAGAGGTCCGTAGATACTACTGCAGAGTCAGTAGATACTACTATAGATTCAGTAAATACTACTGTAGAGCCTGTAGATACCACTGTAGAGTTAGTAGCTACTACTGTAGAGTCTGTAGGTACCACAGTGGAGGTCCGTAGATACTACTGTAGAGTCAGTAGATACTACTATAGAGTCCGTAGATTCTACTAAAGAGTCAGTAAATACTATTATAGAGTCAGTAGATACTACTATAGAGTCAGTAAATACTACTATAGAGTCAGTAGATACTACTATAGATTCAGTAAATTCTACGGTAGAGCCTGTAGATACCACTGTAGAGTTAGTAGCTACTACTGTAGAGTATGTAGATACCACTGTAGAGGTCCGTAGATACTACTGTAGAGTCAGTAGATTCTACTATAGAGTCAGTAAATACTACTATAGAGTCAGTAGATACTGCTATAGATTCAGTAAATTCTACTGTAGAGCCTGTAGATACCACTGTAGAGTTAGCAGCTACTACTGTAGAGTATGTAGATACCACTGTGGATGTCCGTAGATACTACTGCAGAGTCAGTATATACTACTATAGTCAGCAAATTCTACTATAGAGTCACTAAATACTACTATTGAGTCAGTAGATACTACTATAGAGTCAGGAAATTCCTACTGTAGATCTTGTAGATACCACTGTAGAGTTAGTAGCTACTACTGTAGAGTATGTAGATACCACTGTAGAGGTCCGTAGATACTACTGTAGAGTCAGTAGATACTACTATAGAGTCAGTAGATTCTACTATAGAGTCAGTAAATACTACTACAGAGTCAGTAGATACTACTATAGATTCAGTAAATTCTACTGTAGAGACTGTAGATACCACTGTAGAGTTAGTAGCTACTACTGTAGAGTATGTAGGTACCACTGTAGAGGTCTGTAGATACTATAGCAGAGTCAGTAGATACTACTATAGAGTCAGTAGATTCTACTATAGAGTCAGTAAATACTACTATAGAGTCAGTAGATACTACTATGGAGTCAGTAAATTCTACTGTAGAGCCTGTAGATACCACTGTAGAGTTAGTAGCTACTACTGTGGAGTATGTAGATACCACTGTAGAGGTCCGTAGATACTACTGCAGAGTCAGTAGATACTACTAGTCCGTAGATTCTACTATAGAGTCAGTAAATACTACTATAGTCAGTAGATACTACTATATATTCAGTAAATTCTACTGTAGAGCCTGTAGATACCACTGTAGAGTTAGTAGCTACTACTGTAGAGTATGTAGATACCACTGTAGAGGTCCGTAGATACTACTGCAGAGTCAGTAGATACTACTATAGAGTCAGTAGATACTACTATAGAGTCAGTAGATACTACTGGAGAATCACTAGATACTACTATAGAGTGAGTAGATACTACTAGAGTAAGTTGATACTACTATAGAGTCCGTAGATTCTACTATAGAGTCAGTAGATACTACTATAGATTCAGTAGATACTACTATAGAGTCAGTGGATTCTACTATAGAGTCAGTAGATACTACTATAGAGTCAGTAGATTCTACTATAGAGTCAGTAGATACTACTATAGATTCAGTAGATACTACTATAGAGTCAGTGGATTCTACTATAGTCAGTAGATACTACTATAGAGTCAGTAGATTCTACTATAGAGTCAGCAGATACTACTATAGATTCAGTAGATACTACTGTAGAGTCAGTAGATAGTACTATAGAGTCAGTAGATACTACTATAGATTCAGTAAATTCTACTGTAGATCCTGTAGATACCACTGTAGAGTTAGTAGCTACTACTGTAGAGTATGTAGATACTACTGTAGAGTCAGTAGATACTACTCTAGAGTCAGTAGATTCTACTATAGAGTCAGTAAATACTACTATAGAGTCAGTAGATACTACTATAGAGTCAGTAGATTCTACTATAGAGTCAGTAGATTCTACTATAGAGTCAGTAGATACTACTATAGAGTCAGGAAATTCTACTGTAGATCCTGTAGATACTACTGTAGAGTTAGTAGCTACTACTGTAGAGTATGTAGATACTACTGTAGAGTCAGTAGATACTACTCTAGAGTCAGTAGATTCTACTATAGAGTCAGTAAATACTACTATAGAGTCAGTAGATTCTACTATAGAGTCAGTAGATACTACTATAGAGTCAGGAAATTCTACTGTAGATCCTGTAGATACTACTGTAGAGTTAGTAGCTACTACTGTAGAGTATGTAGATTCCACTGTAGAGGTCCGTATATACTACTGCAGTCAGTAGATACTACTATAGAGTCAGTAGATACTACTATAGAGTCAGTAGATACTACCATAGATTCAGTAAATTCTACTGTAGAGCCTGTAGATACCACTGTAGAGTAGTAGCTACTACTGTAGAGTCTGTAGGTACCACTGTGGAGGTCCGTATATACTACTATAGAGTCAGTAGATACTACTATAGAGTCAGTAGATTCTACTATAGAGTCAGTAAATACTATTATAGAGTCAGTAGATACTACTATAGATTCAGTAAATTCTACTGTAGAGCCTGTAGATACCACTGTAGAGTTAGTAGCTACTACTGTAGAGCCTGTAGATACCACTGTAGAGTTAGTAGCTACTACTATAGAGTATGTAGATACCACTGTGGAGGTCCGTAGAAACTACTGTAGAGTCACTAGATACTACTATAGAGTCAGTAGATACTACTATAGAGTCAGTAGATACTACTATAGAGTCAGGAAATTCTACTGTAGATCCTGTAGAAACCACTGTAGAGTTAGTAGCTACTACTGTAGAGTATGTAGATACCACTGTAGAGGTCCGTATATACTACTGCAGTCAGTAGATACTACTATAGAGTCAGTAGATACTACTATAAAGTCAGTAGATACTACTAGAGATTCAGTAAATTCTACTGGAGAGCCTGTAGATACCACTGTAGAGTTAGTAGCTACTACTGTAGAGTCTGTAGGTACCACTGTGGAGGTCCGTATATACTACTGTAGAGTCAGTAGATACTATTATAGAGTCCGTAGATTCTACTATAGAGTCAGTAAATACTACTATAGTCAGTAGATACTACTACAGATTCAGTAAATTCTACTGTAGAGCCTGTAGATACCACTGTAGAGTTAGTAGCTACTACTGTAGAGTATGTAGATACCACTGTAGAGGTCCGTAGATACTACTGCAGAGTCAGTAGATACTACTATAGAGTCAGCAGACTCTACTCTAGAGTCAGTAAATACTACTATAGAGTCAGTAGATACTACTATAGAGTCAGGAAATTCCTACTGTAGATCCTGTAGATACCACTGTAGAGTTAGTAGCTACTACTGTAGAGTATGTAGATACCACTGTAGAGGTCCGTAGATACTACTGTAGAGTCAGTATATACTACTATAGAGTCCGTAGATTCTACTATAGAGTCAGTAAATACTACTATAGAGTCAGTAGATACTGCTGTAGAGTCAGTAGATTCTACTATAGAGTCAGTAGATACTACTATAGATTCAGTAAATACTACTTTAGAGCCTGTAGATACCACTGTAGAGTTAGTAGCTACTACTGTAGAGTCAGTAGATACTGCTGTAGAGTCAGTAGATACTACTATAGAGTCAGTAGATACTACTATAGAGTCAGTAGATTCTACTATAGAGTCCGTAGATTCTACCATAGAGTCAGTGAATGCCACCACAGTACCCCGGCTCTCGCATAGTGTCAAGTGATGCGGTCATTTTTAGTCTGCGATGCGGCAATCGACTCACCCCGACGAGCTGTACTCACGACGCACCGCCACGGTGCGTACGAGCGTTCAGGGTTTCAAAGCAGTCGTCCTCGCTGAGTTTCGACATCGAGGGGTGGCACTGATTTCGGATAGATTTGGTACCCCAGTTGCGGAGTTAAGTAACACCCCTGGAACAAAAAAATAGTGTCCCAGAAATGAAATATTTACTTGCCTAGGCCATTTTTTTATTGTTTGGTTACCCCGGAGTACCGCCACACGGATCAAATGGGCAGACAAACGGAACGCCGGGCTTTTATAATAGCTTAGTATTGGTGTACGTGTACGTTGTGTGTGTTTTTTTAAGAGAAGACAAGTTTTGAAATATGTATATCCCCATGGGGCAAAAGCCGGGTACTTCTTGCTAGTAATTTTTTGTTTATGTTACCAGGTGTAAGGTATGTAGCGCTTTTTCAGACAAGTGACGCCGGCCATCACCAATGATAGCAGCTCATCGAAGTGGCCGATACAATCACCACCGTCATCATAATCGTCACGTTCAGTTCACACCACAATGAACATTTACTGATTAGCTATGTTGGGTGGCGGTAGGGTGCACGACACATTTACATTCATGCCATCTAACCCAATTGAAGACGAAACAAAAACGATCGGTCAGTCGATCATTCCATTGATTGGTTGATCGATCGATCAGTTGGTGGATCAATCAGTCGGTCGATTGTTTGATCAGTCTACTTACCGGTGAATTGATCGATTGATCGGTTGGCTGATCGATCTATCGGTCGATTAATCGGTCGATCGATCGGTCGATTGGTCGGTTTGGTCGATCGGTCAATTGTTCAATCGGTCAATTGGTTGCTGTTCAATCAGTCAGTTTGATCAGAATCTCCCCACCCCCCAACCCCCACCCCCACCCACCCTCTCCTGCGTACTTCACACAGATGAGCCAGAGAGGATGAAGCTGAGAGCCGACTGGATGTCTCTGGACGCCGACAGTTACATCATCCGCATCCGCATCCGCAGCAGCAGCTACAGCAACAGCAGCAGCAGCAACAACAGCAACAGCAGCTACAGCAACAGCAGCTACAGCTACAGCTACAGCAACAGCAGCTACAGCAACAGCAGCTACAGCAACAGCAGCAGCAGCAGCAACAGCGGCGTCGACATACTCCCGGAGGATGAGGAGACGGCCCTGGCCCGCGGGGTCTACGACGCGGTGCGAGCGCTCCTCAGGGCCGCCTCCTCCTCCGCCTCCTCCTCCTCCTCCTCCTCCGCCTCCTCCTCCTCCTCCTCCTCCGCCTCCTCCTCCTCCTCTCCACCTCCTGGCGGCGGCAGTCCGAGGCAGCCCGGCAAGTACCCGACCCTGGCGGGGATCTTCCCGGCGGAGGAGGCGGCGGAGGAGGCGGAGGCGGAGGAGGCGGCGGAGGCGCTCGCCGCCGAGGCCTCCGAGTTGACGCGCGGGCTCCTGGAGGAGGGGAAGGGCGACGACGACGTCACCGGCTGGGTCTCCGCCGAGCTGCACGCCGCGGCCCGCGACGCCCTCCGGGCGTTCTCCGGCGGCGACGACGGCCGCCGCCGGGCTTTGGGAGCGGCGGCGGCGACGCCGCGGGGAGGCGGCTCCCCGCCGTGCCCGGCCGCGTCCCGCGGCGACGGGGCCCGCGGGGCCCTGGTGCGCCTCGCCTACCCGGGCGGCCCGGGGGGCGGCGGTCGCCTCGCCGCTCGCCGGGCCCTGTCGAGGCCCGGCGAGAGGCCCCCGTCGCTGTTCGCCTTCGGGCGACGCTCGGGCGACGGGGATTTCGTCGTCGTCGTCGTCGTCGCTGTCGCCGCTGTCGCCGCTGTTGGCGCCGGTGGCGGCGGAGGCGGCGGAGGCGGCGGAGGCGGTGGAGGCGGTGGAGGCGGTGGCGTCAGTGGCGAGGTCGTCGCCGCGTTTCTCTCGGTCGGATCGCTGCCCGGCGGAAGCGGCTGCCACAACGCGACGAGGGGCGGCAGCCTGACCCTGGCGTGCGTCGCCGCCCCCGGCCCGGGGGCCGTCTGCGCGTGGAGCCTCGACGGTGGGAGGCTGCCGCTGACGGCGTCGCCGCCGGATGCTTGCGAGCTGACCGTCCACGACCTGCACGGCGGCCACGAGGGGCGCTACGAGTGCGTGGCCACCAACGTCGCGACCGGACGCAGAGCGACGGCCTCCGCGTGCGTCCACGTCAGGGGTGAGATGCCGGCGTGCGTCTCTGTGTGTGTCTGTGTGTGTGTGTGTGTGAGTGTCTGTGTGTGTGTGTGTGTCTGTGTGTGTCTGTGTGTGTGTGTGTGTCTGTGTGTGTCTGTGTGTGTGTGTCTGTGTGTGTGTCTGTGTGTGTGTCTGTGTGTCTGTGTGTCTGTGTGTGTGTGTGTGTGTCTGTGTGTGAGTCTGTGTGTGTGTCTGTGTGTGTGTCTGTGTGTGTGTCTGTGTGTGTGTCTGTGTGTGAGTCTGTCTGTCTGTGTGTGTCTGTGTGTGTGTGTCTGTGTGTGTGTGTGTCTGTGTGTGTCTGTGTGTGTCTGTGTGTGAGTCTGTGTGTGTGTCTGTGTGTGTGTCTGTGTGTGTGTCTGTGTGTGTGTCTGTGTGTGAGTCTGTCTGTCTGTGTGTGTCTGTGTGTGTGTGTGTCTGTGTGTGTGTCCAGCACCTGTGACCTCCTGTCACAGGTGCTGGCTAAAGTGGCCCCTCGGGATAGAGTCATCATGTTGGGTGACTTCAATGCCCGAGTTGGTCATGATACTGGCACCTGGTCTGGAGTGATTGGAGGGCATGGGCCAGATCAGCTCAATAACAACGGTAGGAGGCTGCTAGATTTTTGTGCAGCCTATGGGCTTGTGATTACCAACACGCTGTTCCGGCATCGGCGCATCCACACAACATCATGGATGCATGCCGGGTCCAAGCAAGAACATCTGCTGGACTACATAGTGACGGACCAGCGGATGCGAGCCCATGTCCTTGACACCAGGACCTACCGTGGAGCTGATCTGCCCTCTGACCATCGACTAGTCATCTGTAAGATGCGCCTGCCATTCTTCCACTCCGGTGGTGGGTGTACACCCAGGACCCCATTCCAACCTAAAGTGGCCTGGTCTCAGTTATCTGATGAAAGTTGCAAGCGAGAATTTCATCATCGCTTGCGGCTGGGATTGGCATCGTCCCCGACTCCTCCTGATGTCGAGGGTAAATGGGCGAGGTTTAGGACTGTGACTCATGCAGCTGCAATGGCTGCTTTGGGTACGCGGTCCAGACCTCCCCAGAGACCCTGGCTGACAGAGGAGGTGTTCAGGATGTTTGAGAAAAAGCGACAGGCCCACTGTCATCGGCTACAGAATCCCACGTCAGAGAATGAGGAGGCTTACCGCAGCCTTCGCTCGGAGGTTCGGAGAGCCGTGAGGCGCTGCAAGGATGGGTGGTGGTCGCGGGTCGCTGAGGAGATGGAGTCTGCCTCAGTGGCCCGCGATCACAAATCTCTATTTAACTCCATCAAAAAAGTAACCTGCAGCGCCACACCTATTACCATCATTAGGGGAAAAAACGGTGATCCAATCTCCGACCCCCAGGAACAGGTTTGCAGATTTGCTGAGCATTTCTGTGAGGTCCTGGGGGAGGGAAAATCCCTCAGCCAGGAAAACATCGTGGCACAAAGTGAGGATGACCCTGCTGAGGCTGCGGTGACTCAAATATTGGAAGAAGTCACCCCCTGTGAGTGGCTGGCTGAGGTGCCATCTGTTGAGGAAGTACTGAAGGCGATCCGGAGTCTGAGACCAGGAAAGGCAGCGGGCAGAGATGATCTCCCAAGCGAAATGCTGAGGGAGGGTGGCGTTTGTGCACAGACTGCCCTATATGACATCATAACAACGGTCTGGACCACTGGACGGGTTCCGCAGTATTGGAAGGATGCCCTGGTGGTCCCCCTCTTTAAGAAGGGGGACCGCACAGACTGTAACAACTACAGGGGCATCTCACTCCTCAGTGTGCCGGGAAAGGTCCTGGCAAGGATTATTCAGCATCGCCTTGCCAGGCACGCTGAGGAGAGGCTTGCGGAGCCCCAATGCGGTTTCAGGAAAGGGCGGTCCTGCACAGATGCCATATTTTCTGTCCGTCTGCTACAGCAGAGGTGTAGGGAATTCCAACAAGACCTACATCTCTGCTTTATTGACCTGGTCAAGGCCTATGATACCATCAGTAGGCCTGGGCTCTGGGTCGTTCTTCGTGCTTTTGGAGTACCTGACCCTCTGCTCACGATCATTAAGGACCTTCATGATGGTGAGTGGGCCCGGGTAAAACTACATGGCCGGGAGTCAGAGCCATTCCCTGTACACCTTGGGGTGCGACAGGGATGTCCTCTGGCTCCCACATTGTTTAACATCTATTTTGACCACGTAGTTCGTGAAGCCTTCAATAGCTGTACCGGGGGAATCTCCATATGGTACAGATATAATGGGAGGCTGATCGATGCCCGGGTGCGGTCAAGGGTTGGCTCCCTATTGCTCAACCACGTTATGTATGCTGATGATTTGGTAATAGCTGCTCATTCAGAGGAGGAGTTGGAGACGCTGCTGCTGAGACTGGAGCGTGCCACTAAGAGGTGGGGCCTTACCATCAGCCCCACCAACACTAAGCACCTGCCTGGGTATTTTGTACCATTGGACACTCCACCCCCACAACTCCCAATCGGTGATGGGGCAGTTGTGGAGACAGTGGAGAGTTTCCCATACCTGGGCAGTGTGCTTATGACGAGCTCTAGGTCTCACTCCGAATCATTTCGAGCGGCAATATCTTTTCATCGGTTGCGTAACGCTGTGTGGAAGCTACCTGGTCTGTCGCTCCGCACTAAGCTTCAGGTCTTCTCGGCCACGGTCATTCCCTCCCTTCTCTACGCTTGCGAAACGTGGACTCCCCTAATGGAACATCTTCGCCGGTTAGAAACATTTAGGCTGGCCTGCCTACGATCCATCCTGGGTTTAACCAGACTGGATTGTGTGAGGAGCTCACAAATCCTTGAAAGATCTAGGCAAGCTCCCATCGGTGAGCTCCTCCGGCAGGCAAGGCTGCGTTGGCTGGGTCATGTAGCCCGCATGCCCAGCCACCGCATGCCGAAATAGCTTTTGTTTGGCCGGATTGAGGGGGCTAAGCGGGCACGGCACGGGCTAGAGAAGAGATGGAGTAATGTGGTACAGGAGGACGTGGAGCTGAGTGGACTTGCCGATGACTGGTACCAGCGGTGTCAAGAACGGCCTCTGTGGAGGAGGCTCGTGAAGGACGCTACTGGGCAGTTGGAGGCAGTCGTCCTCCAACAACAACGGAGGGCGGAGGAGCGACGCTCACAACAACGAGCGGAGCGCCGGGTGGCTAAAGCACAGCAGGTTGGCACAGTAGGGGGGCACAGGTGGTGCATCAGCCAGTCATCTCAGTCAGTCGACCCGTGGCACCTGGGTCTGCCCCGTGACCTCCTGCCAGCGGGCGTTCGACACTTCACGTGGCCTCAGGGTGCACATGGCCTGGCACAAGCGTCGTGGTGACGTCACCGCCACTTAGTGGCGAATGGCGGTTGTTGTTGTTGTTGTGTTGGTGTGTGTGTGTGTGAGCATCTTTGCGTGTGTCTGTGTGTGTATGTGTGTGTCTGTGTGTCTGTGTGTGTATATCTGTGTGTATGTCTGTGTGTGTATCTCTGTGTGCGTCTCTGTGTGTGTCTATGTGTGTATCTCTGTGTCTGTATCTCTGTGTGTCTATGTTTGTGTGTGTGTCTGTTTGTGTCTATGTGTGTCTGTGTGTATCTCTGTGTGTGTGTCTATGTGTGTGTCTATGTTTGTGTGTGTGTGTCTGTGTGTGTGTGTCTGTGTGTGTGTATGTATGGGGAGCGGTAGTGTAGTAGCGGGTAGCGCTACGCTGCACTGCGAACCCGGCCACCCGGGTTCGATTCCCACTCACGGCCACCAACGCCGGTGACGATTATCTGAACCAGTCGTGGGCCTCACCTTAGGTCGACTCAGCCTCAAATGAGTACCTGGTGCGGTGCGTGAACATCGCCATTCGGGAGACAAAGGCGGCCGGGCGTGGTGCTGGCCACCCACCTCTTCCTGTGTCGTTCCGGCCTTCATAGGTGCTCGCTAACAGCACTTGCCCCCTACAGTCTGTTAAGGCTATACGGGGGGAGCTTTGTGTATGTTTAACTTTTTTTCTCAGCCGTACATAGGCAACCGTGCGAATCGGTGGGTGCCTGCAGGTCTCCACGGGTCTCTGCAGGTCTCTGTGTTGTGTGCACATTGAACTTCTTCCTCACCGTACGTAGCCAACCGCGCTGAAAGAATGCTGCTGGTGGCGCGTCCGTTTTGACAGAGCGGCTTCTGAGCCCAGCCACCTTCTTGGGCCGCACGGCTGAGGGCTGCCGCGATTCGACGACGCGGAGGTGGCAGCAGTAGCGCGGGAACCGTACAGTAGCGCGGGAGCCGTACAGTGGCGCGGGAACCGTACAGTAGCTGCGGGAGCCGTACAGTGGCGCGGGAGCCGTACAGTGGCGCGGGAGCCGTACAGTGGCGCGGGAGCCGTGCAGTAACGCGGGAGCCGTACAGTAGCGCGGGAACCGTACAGTAGCGCGGGAACCGTACAGTAGCGTGGGACCGTACAGTAGTGCGGAACCGTACAGTAGCGTCGAACAGTACATTAGCGCGGGAACCGTACAGTAGCGTGGAACCGTACAGTAGCATGGAATGATACAGTAGCGTCGAACAGTACATTAGCGTAGAACCGTACAGTAGCGCGGAACCGTACAGTAGCGTGGAATGATACAGTAGCGTCAAACAGTACACTAGCGCGGAACCGTACAGTAGCGTGGAACCGTACAGCAGCGCTGCAATTGGCGTTGTAAAACCCTCGGTGATTCGTCCGACTGTCCCACTGCATGGCGTTGCACGCGGCAGTCGTAGTGGTACGCCGTGTCTCGTGTGAGAGACTTTACCGTCACTACGTTGTTCACGGGGGAGGAAATTGTTTTCGGCCGACCTCCAAAAGCGTTTTCCGCTCGACTGCGGGGAAAGAAAAATAAACTTATCAGGAACGCTTTGTCATTTTCTACCGCTACTACTACTACCACTACTACCACCACTAATCGATGCTGCTACTGCTACTAAGAATAGTTTATACTGGTAGGAACGTAGTTCTTCTTTGGTTCTTTCGGGAAAAGTCACCACCACCACCACCCACATAGAATGAGAATGAAATAATACATTGATAAAATAAAATAACGCCAATAATATTCTCACGACGTTTCGGCCACAACACAAGCAGCCTTCATCAGGTGTAAGGGGACGAGGACTGTCTTGTGCGGACAGCGCTGGAACGTAGTTGTGAACTGAGCGTACCAGCATGCAATAGATTAATGTGTCCGTCCGTCCGTCCCCTTTCAACACTTTAACGAAGTGAAATCTCGTGTGACTGTCATCCTTTATTTAACCACGTGGGTGACGTCATTGAGAGTCACTCTCTTGTCCCCGACATCCTTTGTTTAACCACGTGAGTGACGTCATTGAGAGTCACTCTCTTGTTCCCGACATCCTTTGTTTAACCACGTGAGTGACGTCATTGAGAGTCACTCTCTTGTCACCGACATCCTTTGTTTAACCACGTGAGTGACGTCATTGAGAGTCACCCTCTCGTCACCCGCATCCTTTATTTAACCACGTGAGTGACGTCATTGAGAGTCACTCTCTTGTCACCGCCATCCTTTGTTTAACCACGTGAGTGACGTCATTGAGAGTCACTCTCTCGTCACCGACATCCTTTTTGTTTAACCACGTGAGTGACGTCATTGAGAGTCACTCTCTCGTCACCGACATCCTTTGTTTAACCACGTGAGTGACGTCATTGAGAGTCACTCTCTTGTCACCGACATCCTTTGTTTAACCACGTGAGTGACGTCATTGAGAGTCACTCTCTTGTCCCCGACATCCTTTATACTGGTAGGAACCAAGTTGTGAACTGAGTGTACCAGCCTGCAATAGATTAATGTGTCCGTCCGTCCGTCCGTTCGTCCGTCCGTCCCCTTTCAATACTTTAACGAAGTGAAATCTCGTGCTGTTGGGGTGGTGTAATAATTTGTCCGAAGGACGCTCTCGAATTTGCACAAATTTAACGCGACAGTGTCGTCAAATTTGCGCGAAATTCCAAAGTTCCTGCCAGCCCCACCCTGCATGGACGCTGTTTGCCCCCTTTACTCATTGAGGCGTTCAAACGCCAGGTAGACGGGGCGCCTGTTGACAATGCATCACCAAGTCTGCATTAGCCACACACAAAGCACTTGTGGCAACAACAAAAACAAGAACAAAAAACAAACACGCTGAACAAACGTGCTACAATAATAATGATGATGATGATAATGATGTATGCATTTCCTTTGGTTATTTCGGTAAAGTCTCCACGCGGAATGAGGATAAAACGATGAATTGATCAAATAAAAACGACGCGGTCAAATTCCCACGACGTTTCGGCCACAACACGAGTTATTTTATTGGTTTTGTTTTTAATCAATTTACCACTTTTATTCTCATTCCACGCGGTGGTGAACTTTACCGAAAGAGCCAAAGAAGGCGAATCCTTTGCAGTCGCGAAACGCTTTTTAATCGAGACCCATGCAGTTGTCTTTGAAAGCTTATTGGCCGGGACGAGAGGCGGCCCTTCTGTATGTCCTTGGCGCTGTGCCAACAGCGTTAGTGTACCTGAGAACAAGGCAGTAGCTATGGATTCAACATTGAAGGGGGGGGAACAAGTCTTACAGAGGGTCTGGGGCCCCCCACCCCCTTCACCCCCCCCCCCTCCCACCCACCCCCAGAAAAAATCTAAATTTCAAAACGAATTTCCTGCCCAAAATATATTTTAAAAAAATAATAATTCACTAACACTTAGGAAGTATTTTTTGTGTTATTATTATTAATTATTTTTTTTTGCAATGATGTCTAATAGTGTTATTGTATTACATTTACTTGTTTCATTGTATGTAATGATGAGAGATTAGGGATTAATAAAATACACCCATGACCACAATCATATAAAACATTAAAAAAAAATCTAAATTTGAAAACGAATTTCCTGCCCAAAATATATAAAAAATAATTCACTAACACATAGGGAGTATTTTTTGTATTATTATTAATGTTTTACAATAATGTCTAATAGTGTTATTGTATTACATTTTCTTGTTTCAATGTATGTAATGACGAAAGATTAGGGATTAATAAAATACAACCATGACCACAATCACATAAACAGAAAAAAATCTAAATTTGAAAACGAATTTCCTGCCCAAAATATATAAAAAATAATTCACTAACACGTAGGAAGTATTTTTATTATTATTAATGTTTTTTTGCAATAATGTCTAATAGTGTTATTGTATTACATTGCTTTGTTTTTATATATTTTTTACATTTACTTGTTTCAATGTATGTAATGACGAGAGATTAGGGATTAATAAAATACACCCATGACCACAATCATATAAACATAAAAAAAATCTAAATTTGAAAACGAATTTCCTGCCATTTCCTGCCCAGAATATAAAAAAATAATTCACTAACACGTAGGAAGTATTTTTTGTGTTATTATTAATGTTTTTTTGCAATAATGTCTAATAGTGTTATTGTATTACATTGCTTTGTTTTTATATATTTTATACATTTACTTGTTTCATTGTATGTAATGACAAGAGATTAGGGATTCATAAAATACACCCATGACCACAATCATATAAACAGAAAAAAATCTAAATTTGAAAACGAATTTTCTGCCCAAAATATATAACAAAATAATTCACTAACACGTAGGAAGTATTTTTATTATTATTATTAATGTTTTACAATAATGTCTAATAGTGTTATTGTATTACATTTACTTGTTTCATTGTATGTAATGACGAGAGATTAGGGATTAATAAAATACACCCATGACCACAATCATATAAACATTAAAAAAATCTAAATTTGAAAACGAATTTCCTGCCATTTCCTGCCCAAGATATAAAAAATAATTCACTAACACGTAGGAAGTATTATTATTATTCTTAATGTTTTTTTGCAATATTGTCTAATAGTGGTATTGTATTACATTTACTTGTTTCATTGTATGTAATGACAAGAAATTAGGGATTAATAAAATACAACCATAACCACAATCAAATAAACAGAAATATGTATTTTTAGCAATATATTTGGGGGGGCGGCATTTTGAGCACCCCCCCAAATATTTATTATAATTACATTCTTGCCTGAGAACGCCAAAAGACAAATAGTGCAAAGAACCGCCTATAGCTCACGTTGAACTGTTACATATCTACGAGATAGCCTTCATTTTTACATTCTTGGTTCTTTCGGTAAAGTCACCACCACGTAGAAGGGAAACAATAAAATAATAATAAAAATATAAAACAATACAATTCTCACGACGTTTCTACTGCGACACAAAGCAGCAATCATCGTCATCAGGTGTGAAAACCACAGCAAGAATATTTGAAAAAAGTGGCAGGTTTTTTTTTTAACGTCAGCACCACGGAGAGCGATTTGGCAAGTTTGTTCAGATGGACGAGTCCATCTACGTTCGGAAAAGAGGAGGCGGGGAGACGAAAAATTAATGGATGCTGTCTGAATGCCACCGTAAGCGTGAACAATCAATTAAGACCCGAAATGGTTTATCAAATCCTTCCAATGATTGCTCAGCCAGAATCCATCTTCCTCGGTTTAAATTGTCTCTGTGTTTGTACATGTGGATGGCCTCATGAACGAATCTCTCATGGTAGCCGGATGGCTTGCAGAGAACCTCCGTCTTGGAAAAGTCAATGGCATGTGAGCCTACTGAATTATAACAATGATCAATCAATTAAGACCTGAAATGGTTTATCAAATCCTTCCAATGATTGCTAAGCCAGAATCCATCTTCTCGGTTGAAATTGTCTCTGTGTTTTGTATATGTGGATAGCCTCATGAACGAATCTCTCATGGTAGCCGGATGGCTTGCAGAGAACCTCTGTCTTCGAGAAGTCAATGTCATGTGAGCCTACTGAATTATAACAATGATCAATCAATTAAGACCTGAAATGGTTTATCAAATCCTTCCAATGATTGCTAAGCCAGAATCCATCTTCTCGGTTGAAATTGTCTCTGTGCTTGTATATGTGGATGGCCTCATGAACGAATCTCTCATGGTAGCCGGATGGCTTGCAGAGAACCTCCGTCTTGGAGAAGTCAATGTCATGTGAGCCTACTGAATTATAACAGTGATCTGCCACGGCCGAGGTGTTGGCCCTACCGTGTTTTAGGTCTGCTTTGTGTTCACGAATGCGGTCCGAGACGTGTCGTTTGGTTTCTCCAATGCCTGCATTTTACCAGCATCAAAAATAAGAGTCCCCTTTCTGCCAATAAAAAACAGCGATCTG